TACTAATAACTAATAAATACTGGCTGGGGCTTGGGTCCTTGAGGTCTCTTTAAGTAGGAAGTAAGATCGAAGCTGAATTGGTAATAAATCTGCTTCCCTGGGGGATCCTCCAACCCAAGTTTACCGGCTGGAACCGGACCGGGCAGGGTAACAACCTCTGTGTCGGGAGTAAAGACCTAGCCGTGTGTGGAGACTCTGGCTGGGACGGTCTAGGGGCCTACAGGGGAGGGGAAAAGTTTGAAGAAGAGATGTAAGACTAGATCCAGCGAAACGTTAACTCCATCAAGAGTAAAATGCGGGCAAAGAATGGCCGAAATAGTAAAGGAGGGCTTGGATTGTTTGTAAAGAAATGTGCTGTTATGCATGGAGGATCTGGGGCCGCACAGCGTCCGGCCGGCCCGTGGGATCACACGTGTGCGCTGCTTGTCTCTGAGGCTGACCAGAGAGTGGAGGGGAAAGCGTGACCCGGGGCGGCAGCTCAGCATCGGGCGCACGAGGCTTTTAATCAGAAGCTTAAGGAAGTGACAGAAAATGCTCAGAAAGGGAAGCCGCAGAATGGGGAAGTCAACGGGCGGCTGGCGAGCGCCGCAAGGAAAGGGGAAGGCGGGCGAGGGGAAGGAGCTGAGGAGACGGTGCAGACGTGGGGTTGTCAGAAACGGGCGGAGGACGGTGGAAGTGCTCATCGGCCAGCACAGGAGCAATTGGCTGCGGTGACACTGGGAGCACCGGGGAAGCCAGCTGAGTGCAAGGAGGACCCGGAGGATGTGATGGAGCAGGACAAGCCTCATCGTTAATAATGCAGCCGAGCCGTGTCGGAAGTTAAGAAAATGAACTGCGTGCTGGAAGGAAAAGGTTTGGGGGCACCCCGAGTAAGGAGGGGCGTGGGAGAGATCGGCCCAGGGGCTCTAGAGAGAACTGGGGTAGGAGGCTGCCAGCCGACCGGGCGGGTTTGTGAAGGCCGGGTGCTGGCGTGATGGCAGAATGCTTCTTAAATGCAACGTCAAAACGTGACATTGTGACAGGCCATAGCAGAAATGCCAGGCAGAGGAGAAACCTGTCCAGGCACTAAGTCAATGGGTTCCCCAAGGGTGCCGGACAGCACCTGGTTCCACCCACTTCTGTAGGGGGAGATGGGCCACAGACAGCAGTTTCCTCCCAGACCCTGCACAAAGCAGGTTGGACGAAGTGTGGGTATTTCCGGAGTTCATTGTATTACAAATGCAAATGGGTCTGGAGTCTGGGGGGATGGGACGTGATTCCTCTGGGGGAGACGTGACTCCAGCAAACCCTGGGAAGGGTCAGGACCATCACAGGACACTTGTTAAACGACCGACCAGCCAAGGCGGGGATGCAAATTCCCACCTCTGCCCCCAGCCTTTCGAAGCGACGCCCTGGGGAGCGAGACACTGGCTGCGAATGACCTGTTCCCAGATCGAGAGATTCCCAGGGGTCGTGTTCGCAGCAGAAGCTGTGCTGAGCTTGGAAGCACTGGAAAGCCCGTGGGTGGGTTTGACGGGCTGCACCCCGGCCGGAGCCCTGGCTGGAGTCAGGGGAGGGATCCCTGGTAAGCCCATTAGCAGGCGGGTGGGTTCGCTGATTGGTTTAACATGTGTTCTCGGCAGTGCTGTCACCGTAAGCACCGAGGATTGTCCCCCCACCGGGGCTGTAATGTGTTAACTAGCCTGGGACAGTTACACTCCTACAGCATTTGTGTGTGGGGCTGGAGCCGTGGCAATGGGGTGGGGTGGGGGCCAGCAAAGGCCTCTGTGACACCGCCCCATGCCGGCGTTATTGACACGTTTCCCTGCAGCCGGCCTGATGCCCCGCAACGAAAACCTGGCCAGAGATTTTGCTCCGTGAAATGCTTTGAGATGGTGATGTCGGGAGATGGAAACCCAGCTGGGAATTTCCTGCAGGGCAGCGGCTCCCAGCGCTGTTCTCCTGCCCCACATCTGGGCCCGCTACAGCCCTCACTCGACCCCCAGCTCTGTCCAGGTGGGGCCCTTGGTGCCTTCCATAAGGGGAGTTACACACAGCGCCACCTAATGGCCAAAGAGTGCAATACAGGTTAGGGCCCCTCCATTCCAGTCCTTTTCCTCAGTGAGTCTTTAGCTCCATGGCAGAGGATTGAGCTTCTAGCTCTGATGGTCCCAGGTTCAAACCCGGGCCGGGCCAGCGACGACCCTGGGGGAGCTGCCAAGAGCGATGGGGAGGGGAGGGTGCGGCCGACGTGCCCATGCGGGTCTCACATTGCGCTCTGCCTGCAGCTTCCTGATCGGTGAAGACGACAGAGTCTACAAGGGCAGAGGTTGGAGCACCATGGGGGCCCATGCCAAGAACTGGAACAATAAGTCACTGGGAATCAGCTTCCTGGGCAGCTTGTCCAGTACGTGGTTCCCGTCTGTACAGATTTCCCTGCTAGGCCCCCAGGGGAACTAGGAAGTTCACAGCTGCTCTTGGTTCCACCACGGTGGGGCACTGGGCTGGGGCACAGGGTCAGGAAAGGGAGGGGGGGGGGAGCGTGGCGAAGCAAATGTGTGTGTGGAGGCGGGGAGATGCATTACCAAATGCAGTGGGGTGGGGGAGAAAGACACTGACATGGCCAATCAAGAACGGGGCTAGAGGGTGTTTATTTACTCAGGCCACATTCACATCCCCTGAGCAGCAGAGAGGGGCCAGGGGCGTGTGTGAAATTAACAGGGGGCTGCTGGTGTCCTGCAGAAACAGCCCCTGACAACACCACCCTGACCGCTGCCAAGAGCCTGATCCAATGTGCTGTCTTCGGGGGCTTCCTGAGTGAAAGCTACACCCTGAAGGGGCATCGCGACGTGAAGTCAACCCAATGCCCCGGGGATGCCCTCTATGAGGCCATAAGCCAGTGGCCTGAGTTTGAAGCCTGAGTCCCTGCAGCCTCGGGGCAGCCCCTGCGCCCATCGCTGACCCCGCCCACAGCTTCTGCCTGCTTGAGCAGCACCTCTGCCCCCCAGCAGGGGGCAGCCTCCCGCTTCTCGCCCGCCTGCTGCCTCCTAGGGCCCAGAGAGCAGGGCTCTGAGAGTTGGGGTTATGCTCCCGTCTCCCCTGGGCTCTGCTGCCCCCGCCCCCCGGGGGGCTCAGATTTCTAATGGCGCCTGGGAGCCACCTGCCTCCCCCAGGCTACTTCCTTCGGCAGACGCCAGGCCTAGCCCCTCGCTCCCGCCCGCAACGGGCATGTCAGCTTAGCCTGGGTCCACACACAGCCAGGCCCAGGGTCTTACAGCGTCCAGGGGGTGGGGCCAAGCCTCAGCCGAGCTCTGTGGCGACGGCCCTGCCAATCCCTGGGCAGCTCAGGAAACATCGCCTCCATTCCCGTGTGAAACGTCTGAGCAATTATCAATTCCAGAGTCAAATCCGCCTCTGCCCCCAGCCCCCCCGAGATCTGCAGCGAAGATTTCATCTGGAATCCCCCAGAAACCGGTCGCTAGTTAACCCCCCCACAAAGGGAACCCAAGTGTCCCCGAGCCCTGACACTCAGCTCTGCCTGGCCTCCGCAGGGTCTGCCTCTCAAAGCTTTCAGCCCTCGACCCTTTCGCCCCGACAATCCATTCCCGCGAGCCTCTCTCACCGAGGGGGGCAAAGTGTTTGGATCTTCACACAGCAGGTGCCTGGGAAGTACCTGTCGGGTGGGTCACAGAGTCCCACAAAGGGGTTTTTAATTCAAATGCAATTTGCCTTTAACCCAGTGCCCCTGTGGCTTAGTGCTTGCTTTGCTTGGGAGCTACTGAGCAGTGAAAACAAACCAGCTTCTAGCACATGAAAAGTTGAAGCGCCGGGAATCATTTCATCTCCTGTTAAACCATCACCACCACCACCCTGCCGCTGGGCTGGGCTGGGCGAGCTCAGAGGGTGTGATTATGGTCTGTCAGATTAGCACTAAGAGGCCTCCTTGGGCTAGGTGCTATATACACAGAACATGAGACAGACAGTCCCTGCCCTAAAGAGCTCACAGTCTAATTAGACAAAGGATGGGAGGGGAAACTGAGGCACAGGGAGGGGAAAAGGGTTTTACCCAAACTCACAGGGCCAGTTAGTGGCAGAGCGTGGAACAGATCCCATGGGTGCAGTCAAGTGCTCTGCCCACTAGGCTGTGCTGCCTCTCAATCCAGAGGGAGGAGGTGGAGAGGAACCAAGGGGGTGCTGGTTCCGCATGGGTCACACACAGTCAGGCCCGGCAGCCCTGAGCTGAAGGAAGGGGAGGGGAGCTGGGGTTTGCGCCTGCTGATGGGAGCTGGGGCTGCGGCTGGAGACTGGCAGGATGGGCCGGAGCGGAGGGAACAGCCATGCCAGGAGCAGTGTCCCAGCCCCACAGTGCCCAGGGCTGCCCAGCATGTGGGAAGGGGGCAGCAGCACTGACAGGGCAGCTCTTTGTTACGAGAGTCGCTGTGGAGCAGCCCCCGAGCGAGGCTGGGAGCCCAGCACCCCAGGGCTGGACGGGCCCCGTAAACAGGAGCAACCCCTGGTGGGCTGGCAGTTGGAGGCCGCGCTGCAGAGAGTGCAGGTCTGGCCCCCCCGCAGCCCCCGGTGTCCTGCCCCTGGCACAGTCCAGGTTCAGCCCAGTTATTCCTGCTTCTGAGCTGTGGACCCCGGGGGATGCTACCAACTGGGATCCAGGCTCCCTGTTGGGAAGAGGCTAGTCCAGGCCCTGGCGGCTGGAGCTCTGGGGGGCGTGTAAAGCCCAGGAAGGGGCTCAAGGGGCTCAAGCAAGAGGTTTCACTCCTGGGCCGGCCACAGCCCTGCTGCAGCCCCGGAACAAACTCAGCACAATCTCCCTTCCCATCCTCCCAGCATTGTAACACCTCCCCAAGACCCTGTGGGGCTGCCACAGCCCGGGCCCCCCAAGCCACCTTGCCTGGTCCCTAGGGTGTTTTGGCTGCTGGCCCCATGGAGCTCGGCCCAGGAGGGGAGAAGGATCCTGTGAGGCCCAGGGAGGGGTTGGTTCCCTCACCAGGGGAGGCTCTGGGTAGTCACAGCCACAGGTATTCGGCCAGGAAGGCAGCCAGGATCTTGCAGAGGTTCTCCACAGTCGGGGGGTGCAGGTTCTGCTCCGTGTCCTCCATCGTGTGCCAGACCCATGGGAAAGGGGTGGCGATGAGGTGCAGCACCGGCACTCCTGCGGCCAGACAGATACATGGATAGTCAGCAGGGATCCAACCCAGGATCTGCATCACTGCAAGCACCAGCCTCTACTGCTGGAGCTACAAGAGTAATTCCACGATTGTCAGCAGTAGTAGACTATTATCCCCATGTGGCCCAGCCACTAGCGGGCGACGGGCGACATTCTAAATGCGCACACTGTCTCAGTAGATGGAGCCAGGCCCTCAGGCACGACCTGACCTTACATCTAGGAGCCGTGTGCTCCCCTGACCTAGCAACAAGCAGCTGGCCAGGTGCATTATGGGAACCAGATTGGCCAGAGACATCAAGCGAGTCAGGGCCAAGTGGCTAGATAGCAATGATGTGTTTATAAAGTCTTTCACTCCCAAGGATCCCAGAGCCTAAATTCAAAATGCAGCCACCTCTGGGGTGAAGTGTGCCAGGCAGGCAAACATCATCTATAAAGCATTTTTCCCCTGTAAATAACACCCAGCTCTTGCATAGCCCTTGTCCTCAGGGGATCCCAAAGCACTTTACAAAGGGGGTCAGAATGATTCCCCCCACTTCACAGATGGGGAAACTGAGGAAGACAGCAGCAACTTCACCCAGCAGGGCAGTGGTAAAGCCAGGACCTGAACCCAGGTCTCAGTCCCTTGCTCCACTCATGAGGCCAGGCTTGTGTGGGAGCCTGGGGGAGTCTCACCACACTTTGTCTGCACACATTCCTCCCTGGCTCCCCCGGGGAGGCCTCTCCAGCTGTCCATCCCACACTGCTCTGCACCTGGATGTCCGGTAGCATGGGGCAGGACAGGTACCTTTGCGAAGGAAGGGGACGTGGTCCTCTTCGACAGGCCCATAGACAGGCTCCCTCTGGAAGTACGTCTGCTCCCAGGGGTGGGACTGCAGCAGGCCCAGCCGGTGCAGACGCTTCTCTGGGCGACACAGAGAAGAGAGTGAGGAATGGGCTGGTTCCTGGGACCTGCCAGGCTGGGGCACGGCAGAACGAGCCCCACAGGGGGCTACACCTGGCCGCTCACAACAGAGCTCCCTGAGGACATGGAAACGCTGCCGGGGAGGGAGGGGGGATTTCAAATCTGACAAGTCGTGTTTGAGGGAAATAAAGTATTGGTGAAAGATGCCAGGTCAACAGCCCTGGGGACTGAATCCCCAACTCCCAGCTCTGTCTCACAGCTGGGGATAGAGCCCAGGAGTTCTGGTTCCCAGCCCCCCCCTGCTCTAACCACTAGACCCCACTCCCCTCCCAGAGATGGGGCTAGAACCCAGGCACCTTTATTCATTGTCAGACAGACGCAGGACCATCAGGACTTGGGGGCGGGGGAGGAGGTAGCTGTCCCACTACAGGTGCCTCGGGGGGAAGCCCCCTCCCACCCCTGGAAGAAAGGAAGGTTTGGTATCGATGCCGACGAGCCGGTCGAACCAGGAGGCGGTGAAGGGGAAGTGGTTCTGGATGGTCGGGTGGCGGGCCCCCAGCAGGTCCAGCAAGACAAACAGGCTCTGCAAGGAGGCAATGAGGGGTTAAATCTGTAGGGGCCCAGTCACCCCAGGAGGATCTGAGGGAGGGATTGGTACAAGATCCAGTGCAGACAGATTGAGCCCCCCGCCTACCCTGGACAGGCACCCTCACCATCTCCCTCCAGCCTGAAAGATCCCCCATGCAGAACTCCTCAGAGGGGCAGGCGGGCGGCTCTCACCATAGCCTGGAGCTGGCTGGTGCCCGGCTGGTGCTGAGCCTTGGCCATGGACAGCCCCGTACAGGGAATCCCTCTCACTCCACTCCCGGAAGGCCTCCTCTCCATCCAGGAACAGCAGCTGCAGCGTCACCTCAGAGCCCTGGGGAGAGACACGGGGATCACTCAACACCTGGCACTGCTGGACAGGTGAGGGGACTGCACCCAGGACAGCAGCAGAGCTAGGGATAGAACCCAGGAGTCCCGGCTCCCATCCCTCCCGGTTTTGCACACTAGACTCCATTCCTTTCCCCAAGACAAGAGTAGAACCCCCAACCTGGGAAGCTCTCACCTGCTCCTTGGCCTTCAGCAGCTCCACGTCCAAGGCCGTGGCCAGTTCCAGCAGGATGGCACAGGGCACGGCCGAGTCGGTGGCCCCCAGGAAGGTGCGGCCCTGTCTTTCCCAAGCTGCCACCCCACCGGGCTTGAAACATCACCAGCTCCATCCAGCCCAGGGACCACATGGACAGGTACTGGGGCTGGGATGGGAAGACTCTGTGGAATCTCAGATTAAAGGAGCACCTTTAGATTTGGGATGGAGGGGCTAGCTGCAGAGCAGGGAGGTCTTTCCTAAATTCCCCAGGCTTACCCTGATCTGAGGCTGTACAGAGGAGGCTCCCCAGACAGCAGCTGCCTTATCAGAACCGTGTTCATTAGATAGATAGATAGATAGATAGATAGATAGATTCAGGGTAATGTATCAGAATCTGGCCCTCACCCCATTGCACTCAGCGGGTTTCTCTCGTTTTACCCTGGGGGAGAAGAGATCAGAACCCAAGACCGCCAGTTCCAAAAACTCCACAGACCTGTGTTGTCACTGGATTTATTGCCGAGAGGACATTAGACAAGGGGGGGCACCAGAATACCCCTCTGTGGGACAGAATGACGGACTGAGGGGCAGGGTTTGTGTCCTGTGTCTTTGTGCATGCAGAGCTCTGTGCAAAACCCACCATCTCTGTGAGCCCCAGGGCGGATGATGGCCCTGGGAGGAGCTGTGACCATCCTCTGAAAGAGTTGGTGCCAGGGCATAAGGGTTGCTCTGTACAAAGGAGGAGATTAAACTCCTCTGCAATACATATGTAACCCTTCTTCCAGTTGCTGTGGGCAGCAACAAGCTCTGGCTTCAATATATAGGGGTTCCTCTCAAAATTACAACACAACACTGGCTTGGGCTCCCACCCAGAAATCTGGGAAAACTAAACACCAGCCCTGGGTGTTTCTAAGAAGCAATACTTCCTGTCTTGCAAGCACTGAGTCTGTGTGCGACAAAAGAAATATTTTATTAAGGGGAGAAGGAAGAATGGCATTAATTTGAGAAAACATGACAACAATGACTCAAACGTATGCAAACAACAGGTAAATCCCTGGGCCCAGGTGGAGCAGTGGCTTTGCCTCAGTTTCCCCCTTTCTGAAAGACCAGCGGACAAATGTCCCGTTAACACACCACTCCCCTTTCTGTCCATGACAGCGCACTCTTAGTTTGCTGTGCACCATAAGTGAAGTCCTAGGGTCTAGGGGTGCCGTTAGGTGCATTCAGCTCCAGCCTTAGGGGAGGAATGCAGGAAAATCAAATGATGCCTCTGCCCACTCCGGTCACTGCCCACTCTGCCACTGCACACTGCTGTCACCTTCTGAAGTTTCTGCACTGCTCCAGCCCCAAGTGTTCTCAGCTCTTAGGTTATGGCTACATTGCAAAAAATACCAGCAGCCACAAATCTCAAAGCCCAGGTCTACAGACTGGGGCTCTCATTATGGTACTAAAAATAGCCATGTAGTTGTTCCTACTGGGACTGGAGCCCAGGTTTCGGAGCCTGAGGAGGAATGTCTACACAGCCATTGTTAGGGCCGAAGCACAAGCCTGAGTCTGTCGACAAACCTCAGTGATTTCACTGGGTAGTGCAGAGCTCCTGCTGCTGCTGCCGTTTCTGCACTGTCTGGACAGCAATTCTGTCCAACAATAACGAAGGCTCAGCCCTTAATCTAGCTTCTCGCAGACCAAATAATCACTGAGCAAAACCAAAATCCCCGTTGATCACGATCAAGTGTTTCTCCAAACACCAGAGGAAAAGAATCACAATTTTCCAAAACCCTAGAAGGAGGGATCACACCACCACACTGACGGAGCGAATTAGGTTCATCTTAAGGTGACCACATCTCTTCGGGAATATTACATACAGTGCTGCTGGCCTCTAGTCACACTGTGTATTGTGGGCCTAGCATAGTCATGGATTAGAAACACAGACATGTGCGCACAGTGACTGATTCTGCACTGCACAGAGAAAAACCGTAACCCCTATATAACTGCAAATTCAACATAAGCAACTGCTTAGGTGTAACCCTTCTGCCGGGGGGAGTCAGCAGCAACCAGGGCTGGGTTCCTTTTGACAACACAACACAGAACCAGCTCGAGTCTCCACCCAGTAATCTGAAAAAAATTACACCCCCCACTTGGTACCTCTAAGAGCCAGTACGTCTCCTCTCACAAGCACTAAGTACATGTATAGAAGAGAAAACTTTTAATAAAAGGGGAAAGGAACCTGGCATTACTTGGGAAAACACCACAAGCATGATTTGAAAACATCTGACCATGAATAAAACACCCACCCCAGAGTACATTGGCAGCATCCGTTTCCTCAGTCTCTCACCTTGCAGTGTGACAGTCCAACAAACAAATGTCCCTTTAACACGCCAGTCCTCTCTCCCTCCACCGCACCCCACTCACAGTTGTCCTTGGTCAGTGAAAACCCAGTGTTTGGAGGTGTGTTTGCGTGAGTTAACCTCCCACCCCGGGGTGTAGGGGGGCAGCACTGAGCAGTGATTCAGCAGCCCTCGCTGTGCCGCTGTTCACTCTGCATCGCTGTCTGCCTTTGTTCACTCCACAGCCGGCCACTCCACCATCATTGACTGCACCGCCAGCCACCCCCCAGTGTTCCCTCTGCCACTCTCCGGCGCTCTGCCATCAGTCACCCTGCCACGGCCCTCTCCACTGCAACCTCTGGGATGTTTTGAAGTTCCACCACTTAACTCAGCTCTAGCAATTCCAATTCTCAGTGATTCCAGCAGTTCGCGAGGCAACCTCGTTCACCAGAGACACTGTCCCACAACGGACCTAAGGCTTCATATTTAGACTGGGCTATCAGTGATGTCAGCTCGAGTGATCCAAACCAAGAGACTCTCAACTGGGCCTTAAGAAGCTCTGTCGTTAAACAGTGCAGAGTCAAATGGCACGTAAAGCCAGATGGGCACAAATACACCCTCACATCTCCGCTGGCCTTTGGCACCCCTACTTCCTGCTTATTGAATGCAGTTAACTTGAGAGTGACTCCCTCATTCATGGCACACCAAGGCCAGTTCTGCTCCCTTTGATTCACAAAAGGATAACCACACTTTATTACCTCTGCCTCCGCAATAACAAAGTGATTTGCAATCCAACACCAGACAAAAGGGATCATTTGGGCAAAGCAGCCCCATCATGTTGCTCACCTAGGCAGAGTGGGTGTGTCTATTCAAACATGGTCAGTTCCTGATGTCTTCTCCCAGCTCATCACTAGGTGTTGGGAAAGCTCATTCAGAGCCTGCTTACATAAGAACCTATAACTGCAATTTCACATAAACAGATTGAACACTCTGCGCAATGCGTTCAAATGCATCACACATCCAATGAGGCTAACAACATTTCCTTATCCCTGTATCCAAGGGGATGCCTAGCTAGACATGAGATAATATGATGGGTGACTTGTCCAATGAAGGGGGAGCAATAGCTGTTGATTTGGCAGAGGCAGGGGGGAACCCTTCCCCCAGGGGGAGCTGCAGAGCTTCCCAGGAGGATGCTCCTTCTCTGGGGACACACACAGAAGTCAGGCCTCGGTGACTACAGCATCGGCACTGCACCCCCCCTGGAGATTACAGTGGCCATAAATCTTGAGCTGTGGGGGAGAGTCCCAATTGCTGAGTCATTGTTTCCACCTTGTCACTTCCCCTGGGTGCCCATTTCACCCCCTGCCCCAACAGACTCTCATTGTACTCACACAGGTAGAAACTACTCCAGTGGGCTTGAAACATCACCGACTCCAGCCAGCCCGGGACCACACACACAGGTAAAGTTGGGCCTCAATGGGACTTTGTGGAATCACAGACTAAGGGGGTACCTTATAGATCTGGGGGGGGAGAGGGAGGATCCCTGCCCCTGGGAGTGCCGCAGAGCAGGGAGGCCTTTCATAGGGGGATGCTTTCCTTGGCTGCTCCTGATCTGGGGATGCATAGAGGAGTCGGGACTTAGGGGCTGCCCAGCCAGCTCCTACCTTGTCAGAGTTGCATTCATTAATAGATCAATAGGTAGGTAGGTAGGTAGGTAGAGAGATAGATAGATATGGGGCAATGGATCAGAACCCATCTCTGACCCCACTGCAGTCACGAGGTAACTCCAGATTTATACTGGCAGAACTGAGATCAGAATCCAGCCCAGATACTTCCAAGAACTCCACACACCTGTGCTGTTGCTGGGTTTATAATGCAGGGAACATTAGACAAGGGGAGGCAGCTGAATGCCCTAGGGCTGGGCACAGAGAGATCAAATGACAGACAGACAGACTGAGGAGCAAGGGTATATGTCTCCCCCATAGAAATCCTGTGTCTTTGTGCATGCAGAGTTCTATCCCAAACCCTCCATCTCTGTGAGCCCCAGGGAGGTAATGGCCATGGGGTGCACCGTGACCATCCAGCGTG